TAGGATTGAATCTGCACGCTGTGCGCAGAGCACTAAAAGGGGAAGGACCAAGACTTAGTCATCAGATATCCTCTGGCCTAACATTTCAGGACAAAAGTGCCAATGTGAGAAAGTGAGTTACATGTAAAATGTGCTGAATATTGGACAACAGAAGGAGCAGAGCACAGGCTCGAATCAGGACGAACGACTCTTGCCTGCAGTGGTTGTACCACTACTCAAGGGCCTGACCTGCTCACAGAATTCTGCTTAACACGCTAAAGGAGAAATACCTTCTATATACACCTCCCATTTATAAAGATCTCCTGGTTTTTGCGCTTCCTTGTTTGTTAACAAAAAAAAAAAAAAAAAACAGTTTAATATCTGTTAAAATTGTTAAATTTTTTTCTTCCAGGTTATAAAACTTCTGTCAAAATGCCTCTTTCATATTTTCAGCTACAAAACAATTTGATACACTGAAAATGTATCAATACTTACTACAGAAATCATACTTTGAGTCAAGAAATTAATTCATTCTGGCATGTCAGCCTTTTTTGTAACTTTGTGCTAACTCAAAAACAACTTTCCATACTTAAACATTTTTTTCTTCTGAAATTAAGTTACTGACTGCAGAGTTGATTCTGTTAGTAAATAAAAAAAATAAAATCTAAGCAAATTTAAATGCTATTTTATTACAAAATGGAAACAGAAACAAACCCATTGACTTTGTAGATCTGAACAAAAAACTGTAAATGCATATTGTAGCACACTGCAGTAAACTGCCTTCATTAGCTTTTATTCATTGACTGATGTCCACAGTGGTCCTTTTGCATCTCTAAACTTCTTGAACTGTAATTGTGCTTGAACATTAAAATGAGAAATTAACTTATTAACTCTGTGGCTTTCGTTATTTTTCTTCCTTTGCCAAGCTAGTGGATAAGTTATGCATATGGACTGCCTGGAGGCAGACAGGCTGCTGCCTGCTAATATAAAGCTTGTTCTCCTGTGAAGCTGACAGCAGTGGCCGACAGAATAAGCTCAGGAGGTAATTGGGGTCTTTAGTCTGCAAACCAATACGCTCCCTGGAAGACATTATTCGCTGAGGGTAATTAGACACAAAAGGATAATATCTGCTTCAGACCCTGATAAAGTTGAACTTTCATTTAATGTCATGGTCCAAATGACATTTTCTTCAAACTGCCTTTTCTGATTGACTTCTTTAGTACACTTTTTAGTGTGCTCAGTCTGTGTAGGCTTTGTATTGTCCCAATGCAGAAAACCTAGTGACTCACCTTTACCATTTGCTCCATTCCCAGCTTAAACTCTCTTCAAACAAAGGTTAAAACAAAAGAAAGTCTCACTGGAGAGACAGGTAACTAGGTAGGATCGTATTTTATCATGGTCTTTTTTATCATGACCTTGTCTCTTTGTATCAGAATTATGATAAGCACGTTTATCAGTGTATGTATTACTTTGGTAATAATAAATATATTCCAGTGAGACAAAAGGAAATAAACTGTGTTTTCCTTTAATGCGCTAAACTATCCATTTGAAAGAGTGTTATTTGTATTTTTCACAGTATAAGTGAAAAATGCTTCACCTTTTAAGATGGAACTCCATCCATGGCATGTTTCCTATTTGCATCAGAAAAGCTTTGTAATTAAGTCATTGATCTACCCTATTTGTTTTAATAAATGTATATTGGTAAAATATAACCAGGGAAAATCCATCAATCTGTACGTCTTTCTAACACCTAACTTAAGACGATAATTTGCAAGACATTACAGCCTTGGCATAAATATAGAAAAAAAGTTTTAGGAAGTTAAAAATATAAACCCACTTTTCAAACTAGAAGAGTATAAAAATCTGAGTTTCAGATTCATTTATATTTACAACAGTATTTTCAAGCCTAAATTGTGCATCAATTTAAAGATGTTTTGTTGCAAATACATTAAGTAATGATAACCATCAAATGCATCACTTACTGAGCTCTAAAATTAGCCAGAGAAATTGTTGGACTAAATGATCTCATGACAATACTGACGTAACCACACTTTCTTTTCACTAGAAACTGAACTTCTGATTTATTACTCTGTACTGTACCAAGCTTTTATGTGCTGGGTTTTTAACATAAAATGAGTCAGTGTTTCTGAAAATGGAGGCCAGGCAGAGTCATTATGTTTGATCAGTCCTGAAGATGCTTACAGAATTTGGAAGGACGCCCAGAAGATGTTCTCTCTGAAACTTTCTATTTTCCTTTGGCTTGTTTTGTTTCTTGCAGCAGAAGGCCTCATTGATCCAAATGTTGCTTTGGATAAAGCATTTTGGTTTAACAGAGGTTGTGCTGAGTCAGGATCAATGACCAGGGTGTGCAGGAGTGTCACAGGGTACTGTTGCTCTTAAAAAACACATCAGACCCACAGAGATTAAGAAGGTATAATTGAAACTTAATACAAATCTTTTCTTAGCTGTTAGGATTTATTACCAAAAAAAGGTCCCATTAGTTATATTAAAACTTGTATGACATTTGTCTAGTGTAAATACACTAACAAGGGAATATAGAGTACATCCTCATTTAACTCAAGGTTTTATTTAAAACACTTTATGTTTGGATCTTCATCAGGTACTAAATTATTCCAATTTTTGACATCAACTTTAATAACTGAAAACAAATGATTGCCATAAATTAAACAGATGATGTGGGAAAAACTAAGCACACTCTGTAATCCAGCAGCCTTTATTACCACTGTGAGCAGCAGAAACTCTTAGTATTAATGTTTTTTTTTTACTTTTTCAATGCCTCAAATCATTCTGGAGGGCATTTGGCACAATCTTCTATCCAGCGTTGTTTTTGTCACCAATGACGAAATTATTTTGTTAACGCTCCTTTTTTTAAATGACAATAACGAAAAACCGACGAGCAAAAAATAAATCTTTAATGACTAAAATAGCACTAGTCATAGGTTTGAGTTTTCATTAATGAGACGAGACTAAATCAAAATTAGTGCCTCGTTGGTCAGACATGCTAAAATGCATCATTGGTGCTATAATCTGCTAAGCAGTATCAGCCATGCTACTGTATCCTGTTTGTTACATATGATGCAAATGTTTCCTTGTATTGTCATTAAAACATTTTCTATGTTTCCTTTAAATTAAACACTTTAGTAGCATATTCATTCAGTTTAGGTCTGGATTGCTAACAACGTTTTTGTCTGAAAGACTAAGACTAAATCTAAGATGGCTGTCAAAAACAACACTGATTCTATCCAATTTTAGCCAAGTAAACTAGCCTCACCCGCCAGCGGCCAAAATCATTTTTGTCTGCGAGTGGTCTAGCCTCGATTAATGCCCCAGGCCCTAGAACTGGCAGGCCAATGACAACGCAGAGATGCGTTTTGAATTTCTGGATACAAAGCGGGCGGGGTTTTGAGGGCGTGACGACAAAGCTGTGCAACGCTGGAGAAAGCACAACAAGGAAGATGGCAAAAACTATTGAAAAGCTCTTGTATGACTCAGCTTTGGAATAAGTTTTGGAAGGATTAAACTTGGGGTTTTCATTGAAACGTGAGCAGGAAGAGGCTCTACGCTCATTCACTTTTAAGAAGGACGTATTTGCCATTTGTTTACATTCCCCCACCTGCTTTCTGTCGCGCTTACTATGTCACAGTCAGTTGCACTCATTGGTCAGAGCGTTGGCCGATAGGCACAGACAGGTGAGAGACAATGGGTTGTTCTCATCAACAATCTTCCAATGTGTTATTCATCGGGGCCAGACTAAATTACACATTCAATCTCACATTTAGTCTGGTTTATAAGGCTAATCGAATGTCTTTCTATTGTTTGTTTCTTCACGGCTATTTTAAGCTAGCATAATAACATTTCAAAGAGCTGGAAGTTGGTGACGAGTGTCAGCAGTCGAAAAGCTGTCACATTAGAGACTGAATTATTTTGTTCTACAGGGGAGATCATTGTAGAATTATCAAATGCACGATGCCTAGGCCTAATCAGCGCCAAGCCAGGTCCAAATCATCTAAAACTCCACAAATGTGTTAGTGGTGGTATGCTTTCTCAAAATATGCAATGCGTCATAAAGAACTATTTTTGCTTTGGTGTCACTTTCAATTTTCAGTTTCAATTTCGATGTTTAATAGAGAAAGACTCTATTACTTCTAAAGTCAAGCATAATTTTTCCCTGTCATGACCTTTAAACACTTAGGCCTAGGCGCTATTCCTGCAGCATCTGAGATTGAGCACCTGGATTTGTGTTCAAGGCAGCAATGGTAAACTTCATTTCCAAACAGAGCATCTACCTTTGGACCTTATCTGTGCTCTTTTAAATAATTACAGTGGGGAATTAGTTGTATCTTGCATACAATTGAGGGTTGATTTGACTCACCCTAGGACCTGATAAAGACCAGATATTATTTATATCATCATCATTTCAATTAACTGACTCTGCATATTGAATAACAGTTGTCATCTGCTACTTTCTGCACTCATCTGTGACCACAAAGATTCTCAAGACAACAGCAGTGTCTGAGAGGAGAAGATTGACAAAAAGGTGTGGGAATATTAAATTATGAATTAAACACATATATTTCCAGTAACCAGAAACAAAATTCATTGATACCTTATATTTTTCTGTGGAAAGTGCGAATGTCAAGGGCGCCCAAAACCATTTGTTAAACTAAATAAAAAATTATTTCAGGCAAGTTTATATTCACCAGCCCAATGAATTAAGCAGGCTAAAGCTTTAAAACGGCTGAAGTTTCCAGTCAACAAGGTTAACAACTTTAATTCATACAAAAACATCAACACAAGGCAATATCTCGATCTACATCAGAAAGACATTTGCCAATGTTTTTTCTTCTTCTCAACACCTGCAAACAACCCATTACTGCAAGAGTGACTGTTAAACACAAATGAAGATGGCCAGGGAAGAGAGGGAGAAGAGTAAAAACAAAACAATAAAGAAATAAAATCAAAAGAAATGAACAAAAGAAACTGAAAAAAAAGGAAAGTACCTTTCTTGTGAGTAGCTTCATTTTTGGAGCCTTTGGGGTCTAACAAAGAAACAGATCAGAATTAAACACAGCATATACTAACACCACCTTACCAACTATACGTTGTTTCTCCTCATTAAGGAAAACAACAGCTTCTTCTATCAACGAACGAACAAGACAGCAAGGCACACCTATCTAAGGTGTCGCTCTGCTGCCAACACTCAGCAAGAGTGAGTGTGTGGCAGAGGGGGAGACTTGAGGGGACGGTAGGGAAGGCAATAGCAGGAAGGGGGATGCAACGAGTCTGTAAGGAAACAATCTACTGCCATACTGCAGCGGGCAGGAAAGGAAAGGCAATGCACTGGAATGAGGAGGAGGAGGGTTGCAATGCGGCTCTGTCAAGAGGAGCTTAAATAAGACTAGCAAAATGCACTAAAGGAGATGCAGGAGGCCAGAAAGAGAAAGGAGGGCGAGGAGAAAGGGTAGGGATGCAAAGACTACATGTCAAACTGGCTTCATTTTGGCTTTTTTGCCTTCAAGAAAACTTATTTCTCTATTCATGGTAGCAAGTTTTCAACCACAACTTTAAGCAAAATCCTTTAAATTATTTCTTTGTTCTTTTTAATATTTTCAATCCAGATCTAGTAAAAGCTACCAACATAAATGATCTCTAAATGTGAAATAAAACCCTATTTTCTCTTTTAATGATCATAATTTAATTGAACTAATTTGGCTGAAATGGAGCCCATGATGTAAATCTGTAACCTTTCACAAATGGGCCACATCATTTCAGTTTCAGATCTTCCAGGCTGCGGCAAGGCTGATTTATAATAGAGAAATGCCCGCCTGCTAATGTCAAGTAACTGGAAGTAGAGGGTGAACGATTCATTGCTCTGCAGCGACAAGGCATTTTCCCCTTGTTCACTCTACAAAAGTTAGTGCTCTACTGCGGACTCTGCCTCATGTGTCATGGAAGATTGGTGGCTTATTAGATTTATTGGATTTGTCTGGAAAGTTCCAGAAAGTACAAGGAGCAAAGACAGAAAGTTGTACTGCTGCTTTGATCAGCAGCTGTTCTATTAAACCCTCAACGCAATCAAACCTGTTATCAGTTAACTCTGGGTAAGATATACTGTGTATTTATCTAGCAAGGGTTTCTCAACATCAACCAATCTCTCAGTGGTTAGGGAGTGGCACTGATATCATTTGCATTTATAGTTAATTCAACCCTTAGAGCTTAGATTTGTCAGTTAATGTTATATTTTGCCTCAAACCTGAACTGACTGATCCAGACCAAACTGGGTTCACTTTACTCGACAGCCACCAGTGTGAATGATGGCAACAGCATCCAGTGGAAATCTCAGAGTAATGCTGTTATCAGTCACTGTCAATCCACAAAAACAAGGAAATGGCTTTTAGAATAGATTGAAAGCATCCACCATGACCATGATCTATCTATAGGCAGGTGACTTAAATTCTGTTATCTAACTAAACCTATGGCTTAATCTCTCTATGTCTGGGCTTAGCCCAGGTTTAACCCAGTGACCAAGCAAAATGTCGAGGTTCCTTTCTCTTAGCTTCGGTATTTTTTGGCGGTATAATTCCTATCATTTAATGACGAAGTTCAAAAAATAATAAAAGTTCTGATTTGATATAAATTTGATATAAATATAACTAAATTCTTTGCCTCTGCGCTGGAAACAAAGATCCTACACTCCGTGATTTGCCTCTTAAATAGTATGCTTCTTTTAAAATGGGTGCTTAAAGACTTTATAATGAGCCAATACACCTAGCTGTTTGACAGCCAAAGGCCATGAATGCTTTTCAATAAAGAGCATCTTATTGAATAATTCAAGCAATGACCCTTTTCCCTGCTTTACTAATATAAAAAAATCAGCACATATACCTGAATTATCAGGTAGGAGTGCTGCACAATGGTTTCCTTGATATAGTTGAAACCTTACAGGATGTTGACAGTTTTGATACCTTAAAAAAAACTTCACATTCAACTAATTCCTTTAAAGAGATCAAAACCGATTTGTACAATAACCACCAAAGTTCATATGAGTCTTCAGGGCTCCCCATTCAAAGCTATGAACAAACTTCAAGGATTCATTGCCTATAACTTTATCTAAAAAATCATTGCCTATAACTTTATCTAAAAAATAGAAAAACCTAAGCAAAATAACTTCAGAATGGATCTAACAACAAACAAAAAGCATTTTACACACACTCCAAACCTTACAGTAGGTTTTCCATATCTAATTATGGCCCTTCCTGACAGACCTTCTTTTTGCTCAACATGGTGCTTCTTAAACCTTGGACCTTCTTAGCTAATTGGTATGGACAGTTTAGTTACTAGCTTGGTAAACTTACATTACAAAGGCAATCAGGACAAATTCTGATTACAGTATATGCTTTAGCTACCTCCTCTGACTTCCTTCAATGTGCAGTTATACGCCAAGCCTCCTTAGATGATGGAACTCTTCACCTTTCTAAAGCTGAGGCCAGAGATCCTACAGAGACACATTTTTCTCCTATCCAGAATCTATATATTTTGACCATAGGTGAGGAGTGGAACATAGACATTCCAGCAAGTTGAAAGCTGACCTATTTGTCAAGGCTCTTTATAACCCCAACAGAGTTGAAGTAGTCCACATTAGTGGAGATAATGCCCAAATCCGACAGTCAATCGCCTGCTCTATCCATCACTACTTGTAAATAAAACAATACAAGATACTTAAACCTGTCTGTTAAAGGCAGAGACTGTCCGTATTGGCTAATAATTTCATAAACTATATTTTCCAATGTGCGGACTTTGTAGGATTTTTTTATTTCTATTTAACTTTTTTTCCCCTCCTGTTTACTTTCAAAAACTAACACGGAAAAAGCTTCTCACCCTCTTCATGCTTGCGTAACAACAGTAAACCTTAATCTCTTTGTTAGCCACTTTTTCTCTCGAGCTAGTAATTAGAAGTGTGATCAGATTCACTGGAGGACTGAATGGCCTTTAATAAAGCGGTATTCCCCTTCTCTTGAAGTTATTAGCCATGGATGGGTGACCTGCTGAGAAGTCAGAGTATTGTAGCCTTTCAAGTCCTCTTAACATAATCCATGTTTGCATATGAAGCCCTGGCTGCACCATTGCCTAATCTGATATTTACTAAGCTATTTCCAGAAGCAACTCCCTCCAAGTCTCTAAGCCAGCATGGTTGCCTTTCCACCCTTCCCCTTGCTCTTCCAACCATCCATTTTTCCCTTGCAGCCAGTCCCCCATCCCACGCCCATTACCTTATACCCATTAATCCCATTAAGTACCCATTAAACAAGTGTCGATAAGACCAAATGAACATCAGGCTCTGACAGCTAATAACTACCATCCCACATTGACAACTTCAACTGTGGTCAAAAAAAGGAGACACTATGTGCAACAACAAGTGCTCCAGCTGTGAAAAAAGAAAAGTTAAAAGAAGAGTAGGATGCTGAGCATACTCGTTCACCGTTAATACCGGACTCATATCCACTTGTTCAGAGCTCAGTGGTGAAGTGAGGCGACTCAGTGGTGAAGTGAGGCGACGGTGGATTTTCTAAGATTTTTTCCCCCAACGTGAGGATTTCTCAGCAAACAGAGGGAGGAAGCATTTTCCAATGAGCGGAGTGAGCAGAGGGGAAAAAAAGGATCATGGCTGAAAGAGGGAAACTATCACAGCTGCTTAGTGGTGCCACAAATATCCTCCTGCAGGAGACATATTCCCTGTTCTGTCTTCTTGTTGCTGTACTTCTAATTCTTTTTTTTTTACTTTCATTTGCAATTGGATAACAAATAATAATGCTTTAATTTTGTATAAACAGATAATTAATGTTCACATGGGCTAATTGATCGTTACAGCTGTACCAGGAAAACTTATATTTAAGACAAATCACTCTAGATAATGCAAATACATTTTAAGAACTCTTAAGCATTTGTCAAGTTTTGATTGAATAATCAATAAAAGTCTGAGTTGACTGGCCTTTAACTGTTCCCATTTTGTTTGAAAAAAGCTAATAGAAAACACTTGCCCTATTAGAAGCTTATCACTTCAGCTAATAAACTGGAAAGGTGTCGAGAAATCAAGAAAGAAATTCACTCAAAATCTCTTCCTTGACAGTAAGCTTATATATTCATTTGGTGAAAAGATGTGAAAAAGGAGTCAGTTAAAGCAGTAATATTCAAATCAATGGTGTTGATGTCACTTTTATTCAGTGGAAGCATATGGAAGAAATGCATAAAATATTTTATGTTATATTTAGTTTTTTCACAATACAGTTTTTTTTTTTTTTTGGGCTTATTACTACTCTGGTCAGATACAAAAAAATGCAAGCCATAGACCCGGTTCATCACAGTGAAGACTGAAGCAGTTTGAAAGATGGAAGTCAGCCAGAGTCTTTGCCACAGAGGCTCTTAGTCTGTGTAGAGTGGTGTAGAGTGGAATTATGAAATCCTAAATTTTATTAAATTTATGGAAAAATATAAGCTACTGTACCTTTAAATAGACAGTGACAATTTAGAATATTTTAAAAATCCCCTAAAGGAATATAACAATCCAAACACAATCAATGTATTAACATCAGTAAAGAGTCCAGTATGTCTGATCTTCTGCCTGATCTCTCTAGCACCAGAAAGGTTGAGTTCTGTTAATGGGCATTTGATTCTGTTTACACTTCTTACTTCATAATCACCCTATCTTCTAATACAATTAAAATCATTTGTTAAAGTGTCTTGCAAATATGTCAACCACTACAATCTTAATTCATTAAAAATGTGCCGAAAAAGGTAACCAAATTGGATTTATTATCTGTCCAATTGGGTACCAAATGAGAACTTCAGGTTCTCTTTTGCACATGAGCCTCCTGTCATCAATTAATTTATATAACAGCGTGAGGTGATGCCATTGAACAGCAGAGTTTATGAAACCTTGCATTTATTTTTGAGTGAAAGGGGGTTAGGGTTATGATTCGGTGGTAAGATACAAATGTTTAACAAAACCGCAGGTGATAGATCCACTAGTATAACTGCTGTT